TGTGCTACGGAATTGACTCTTCCTGCAGTAGTCAAATTTTCTAACATGTTCAATCATGCCCATTACAATTTTTTTTTAAATAATTATGGAAAGGAAAGCACTGAAAGTACCGTAAGCATTTAAAATGCTTGATTTTTCTATGCTTTTCCCTGCAATGGTTTATATTGCTAACAGGGTGGTTTGAAATGGTAACTATATCCTGTGCAGGAGCAAGAATCGTATTGCCTGTGCCTGGGTGCAGAGCCAGTGCTGACACCTCTTTAATCATACCTCCCAACATTCTAAGATTAAAAAGAGGGACACCTTCCAGCACAAAGTATTTAGGCGATGGACACACCCATGTCACACCCCCAGTTATATGGACCAGTAGGAATTTATTTGCCAAAAAGGATTGTTTAAAACTATATATTTTTTTCACCATTACTTCTTTTCCCATATACTGTCTTTTCAAGTAACAAACAAGAAAGTTAAGAGATAAGATAAAGGTTTTAGTGCCGAATAAAACTTTTGGTAGTTAAATTCAACAACTGAGGAGGAAAGATGCATGGAGGGATTTGGTTCCAAATGAGGAGCAGTCCTTCCATATGAGGGGACGCTGGGAGGTATGTTTTGCACCTTTACCAGACACTAACTACCCTCAATTACCCCAAGGTACTTGCATGAAAATTCACCTCTTCCATTATTATTTCTTTGATTCTTTAGGCATCAGTGCTCTATGCCCTTCAGTTATCCCCATTCTTTTGAATGGAGGATTACTTAGCAATTACTGATGTAAATGTTCAGTTTTGCACAAAATGTTCACATTTGCCTCCTATTCAGAGGACAGTGTCATTCCCAATCCTGAAGTATTGGATAGCAGCTGAATTCAGATCATTTCAGAGAAATTTAGGCCCTTGTGAATATCATTTTCTCTTTTATTAAAAAGTAAGATAACCTCTAAAGAAGCAACTGAATTAAACTGTAGCAGATAAGCACCCGGGTAGCAGCAGAAAGAAAATAAGGATGAGAGGCAGATTTCTGTTTCAATACAATGAACAGGGTTTAAACGTGTTCTGCTTGTGTAATGATCCGTGCAAACTCTGCGGGAGGGATAGGATCACAACTGCGGAGGTAAGCGTAAATGGTTCAGTTGAAGGGTTCACTGTCACACTTTAGTGTAGTGAGTGAAGTCGGAACCCCTTACACATCATATACCATTTGGTTGTAGGAGGAATTAAATGGGTACCATACATTGACAGTTCTTCCCAATAGACCTGCAAAGTGTCCCTGGAGTTACTTAAACATTTTATACAAATACAGACATTGTTTTGGCCTCTCAGTACATTTCTTAGGCTTCTGGAACACTTTAGCAGACTTACATCAGGGGTGTGGAAATTTTAAAAAAAAACTACTTGTCCAAGCGCTAAAGTGGGGGCCAAATCTACTTGTCCTACGCGACAAGCTACTAGTTTGCGATTGGCCGGGAAACCTGCTTCCCGGTCAATCAGGAAGCCGGGTGGCGAGTAATGACCTTATTGACCGGGAAACTAGCTCGATGCTGATTGGCCAGGAAGCCGGCTTTCCAGCCAAACAGCAAGGAGCCGGCTTCCCGGGCCAATCAGAAAACCAGGAGGCGGGTCATTACTTGCCGCACGGCTTCCTGATTGCACAGGAAGCTGGCTCCATGTTCCCCTACGGCACTGCCAGTCAGAGGAAATTTTCATCTGGCCGTAAGTTCCAATATCGGGGAAGGTATCGGAGTATTTGGGTGAGTACGAGTACTCGGTATCGGCACTGATACTAGTATCGGTGCACCCCTAATCAAAACATATTTTACTGTGCTAAATAGCGCTTCTCACTGGTCAGCGCAGTCATCTGACCACGTTGACCAATGAGTGCTTGCAATTTGCGAGCGAAATTCAAAATGCATAGGGGAGGACTGCGCTGGACAGCAGTACGGGGGACAGATAGTACACCCATACTGGCGGAGGGGAGGGATTGTTCGCCGAAAGGTAAGTATAGCCAGGGGGGTGGCGGTTTGGGAGAGACAGGGCCAGATTTCATCGGGTAATTTTTATTTTTCCATATTACCTGGGAAAATGAACTTACCCTTTAATGCACATTATGTGTGTGTAAGAGAATTCTGGCTACCACCATGGAATGGCAGCTGCAATCTCAAAGCACATGCAGAATGTCCTACGCATGCGTTTATTTGCATGCAGATGGCGGGGGCAGCAGGGTTTCATTTTTAACTTTTTTCATTTTTATTTTTTACTTTTTCATTTTTTAAATCTTTATATATTTTATTTTTTTAACTTTTTATTTATTTACTTTTTCCCCTTAATGTTCTTCCTATTACATAGGAGATTAAAATCCCTTATGTGATAGTTTGGAGGTGACAGGTTATCTTTATGGAACCTGCCCTCCAACACAGAACAGCTGTTCTGTGTAGTTCCTGACAGCCGAGACAGGTGGCGCTGTGAAAACAGCGCCACGGTCTCAGAGAACACACAGAGAGCCCGTAGAGCAGACGTTTTTCGTCTGCTCTATGGCTGAGCCGTTGTGCCATAGTTTTCGGGGTCCCCCGGGAGAGCGGGCGACCCCAAAAACTACGGCGGGGTTGCGGGCAGAAACGATCGCCGCTGCTCAAATTAATACCAGTGGTCTGATCCACAATGTACATTCAGCTCTGCTTGTCCGGAGCCGGGCTGAATGTACTTTAAAACTACTCGCCCGGCGCCCGAAACTGCATGTCCCGGGCGTCGGGCGATAGGAATTCCACACCACTGTTACATCCTTATGAGCTGGTCATTATCAGGAAGCAATTTGTTTTGTAGTTTAATAGATACTACTGAATATAAGGACTTACTTGAAAATCAAGAAGTAAACACAAAGGGGTTGATTCATAACTCATTCGTACAACAAACAGCTATGTGAACGAGATTCGCAGTGCGTTATGGCCACTATATGGAGCCGATGAGCAACTGTAGGTTTTGAGCTTCAAGTATATGTATAGCCAAATCTTTTTTATATATATTTTTTGTCTATGTCTTGATGGGGAGATTTCCCTTCACGTCCTGTCCCAAAGATTCAACAGGAAGTGAGACAATGGGGTTGATTTACTAACCTTATAAACACACCACAAACATGTATACATGTATACACCTCTGTAGTGTGTTCCCTCCCAGCATGATCTATGGGTGGAATCTAAACACCTTTGTAGTGTGTACACACCCAGCAGGTGTGTTGTGCAAAGCCCTGCATGAATTGCAAGGTGATGTTGTGTAAATTAGCTCTATGTTGTGTTGCTTGCGTTGATGAATGCAGGAATGTAAATGCATGAGCTAACCATTTTTGTCTAAACTGTGAAGCAGCATTATATATGCATCATGTGCATGATTTTTCCATATATGGCATTAGTGGAAATATGCTTTTAGAGACTTTTTGGTTGATAAATACGTTTTGCTGTGTAAAAATCACACGCACCTAGTGCGTGCGTGTGTTTAGGTTAGTAAATCACCCCCAATATCTCTTACTAAGGGTACGGGTTCCCTTAGTAAGAATCCCTGATAGTTGTCTCCATTGGAAGATTTACCGTCAGCTTTTGTTCTGTTAAAGGAGAACTATGAGGTGAGTGCAAAGCTTAGTTCTAGCTGACCGGTGACAATGAGACTGTTACCGGTCGGCTCAGTAGATCGGGAAGTGAGCGAACACGTACCGGCGTTCGCTCACTTCTCAATCCTGTCACAGCTCTCTGCCGTGACAGGGGAGTGGCTGGATTCCCCCCTCCCCGCTCCGATCCTCCAGCGCTGACTGGCGGAACGGACGGGGAAGGATGCAGGTACAGCTGGCTCTGCCTCTAGATAGTCAGAGCCAGCTGTCACTTACGCAGCTGGGCGGATCCAGACACAATTGTCGGGATCCGCTTCAGCTGCGGCGTCTCAGTATACCGCGAGCTGTAGCTTACGGTATACTGAGCTTAGGGTGACGGGAGGACGCTAGTTTGTGTCCTCCCGTTACCCTAAGGAGAACTATGGGGAAAAGCTAACCCCATAGGTTTCCTTTAACAACTGTAAAACTTTTTTTTATTACTTTCTGTTTCAGTGAAAGTGGTCACCAGGACAAATAGAGAAGGTGAATTTACCTAGTGGGAATACAGGCAGCAATTAAAACTTGACAGAAGATCTAACTCTATTCCAAAAAATTCAAAAGCTAAAAAACTGTGGCTATACATACACTTTAACTATTTTTTGTTACTGCTTTATGTTGAGGTTGTGCATTTCATCACTCCCTTATAGCCTGCAGTGCTATTTACCTTAATATTACTATTATATCTAGCACATCAACAACATGTAGGCATTAGTGTAAATGTGATCTATGTATGTGAAACAATGGAGTAAATGCCTACACATGTTGTAAAATGGTTTCATCTTTATGTAGATGGTACAAGTATATAACAGTTATGGCCAATCTGTTCAAAGACAGGAGTGTCATCTGTTGAGATTATGGCCATTTCACTAGTTATACATGTTGCCTGAAACATGAAATATTCAGTGCAGTGTGATTACAGTGATATCTTTTTTTTTATCACATATATAGCCTCCTGCTCTGCAGGGCGATGCTTCCTGAAAGTGGCTGAGCCCGCAGCCCCCGGATATGCAGCAGTGTGACCACCTTTCCAACACCACGGACCGTGTGAGGGAATCATCCACCACCGGCCCTGGGAGGCATGGTGACGACCTTCAAGATTGCGGTACTTGGGGCCCAAGGAGTGGGGAAAAGTGCCATTGTGCGTCAGTTCATGTACAACGAGTTCAGCGAGACCTCTGTTCCTACCAAGGCTCGACGTGTCTTCCTACCAGCTGTTGTCATGAATGGCCATGTCCACGAACTTCAGATCATGGACTTTCCTCCTATATCTTCCTTCCCTGTCAACACCCTACAAGTGAGTCTGGAATATGTAGGCTGAAAATTCTGGAGCATAATTCAGAAACTCTTAGCTCAGATGATATTTTTCTTAAAATAACGATCTTCAGAGAAACAGAGTAAGTTGAGGATGCTGCACAGTGAAAACCTGTAAAGCTGGCTTGCATATGTTCCTGAAATTTGTCAGCCTTAAGGTCTCATGCTGACCATCTCCTTCTACCTGCGTTTCTGCTAATATAACTTGTCTGTGTTCATTCTATTCGTCGTTCTGGAGGTCACATGCTGAGCATTGTCTTCTGCATTTCTTCTTCATATTTTTCTCTGTGACCTGTGAATCAGAAGGTTCCTCAAAGACTCCTTTGAGGACCAGCAATGATTGTTTTGAGGGAAAGGGGGTTAAAGTCTTTTGGTTAATCTATGACATCTACCGCAAATAATGGAAAACTTGCACTTGGCTTCAGTGGGCGAATTTTAAAGGCAATGCGCACCCTAATTTTTTTTAACCTCCACGATACCAGCATGTTTGTTAATTTTCAAAAAAAGAGGCAAGAATTAATTCACCTCGGGGTGTCCACTTTCCAAAAAGGGGTCATTTTGGGGGTGTTCGTACGGACATTTTTATTTGATATTTTTTGCACTAGAAAGTAAGGTAAGCAGATTTATTTGAAAATATTTGGCCTTTTTACCTTTCAATTATCAATTAAAAAAACAGTGGTTATTAATTACAGCCAAGAGATCACTCTATCTGTCTGAAAAAATGATATAAAATTAGTTTGGGTACAGTGTTGCATGACAGAGTAATTGTGAGTACTAGAGCACTGAAAACTGAAAAATGTCCTGGTCGGGATGGGGTTGTGACTTTCCGTTCCTGAAGTGATTAAACTGCAAACTGAGGATACTCCCTTTGTTCTTCAACCCTTCAATTAATATATTAGCTGTGCATGTACCAAAGACCCAGTTTGTTGACTAAAAAAAAAAAATGATATCCATTAGTCACAGAGATTTTCCAGGTATAAGGAGCATGTCAAGGGTTCATAAATTTTCCATACCTCTGTTATTGGCCCTTACATGGCCCGGTTATTGCAGATGATATTAACATTTCTTGCATCACCGTGTAGCCATGCAGAGCATTTATAGGGCTCTCCATTACCACAAGTAGAGAGTAGAGGGAGCCATCAAGGAGAATGTGACTAGGATGGAACCTTTACATTCATTTATCTTAGAACAAAAGTCAGATTTAAACCTATGTCTCTAAACTATATTTCACCATACCTTGCAACTAGTATTGTTTGAGACTGGCCTGGTGTACCTACAAACTAGTAGTCCATCACTGGAGACTTTTTTTTTTTAAATCCGATTAATCGAACTTAATAATCGGCTAACTAATCGATTATGAAAATAATCGTTAGCTGCAGCTCTAGTACCATAGCAGCATTGTTCAACCTTTTTTCAGTCATGGCACCCTTTAAAAGTATGCAAAATCTCAAGGCACCCTGATCTGAAACGTCAAAACTGTAAATGAAAAGAATGTAAAATAAGACATGTGGTCCCTCTAAAATCCATACAAGACCCTTATACAAGATAGGGGTATGGAATGTATTTTAAAAGGGGAGTCCCCCCTCTTTAGGTGGGACCTGTGTCTGATTTTTGTATGGATGTAGCAAAGTTTTTTATTTAAAATACTTGTATTCATGTCCTGCAGTTTAGAATCATTTAAGGTTACTTGCTGAGTATAAATCTTTGGTGTTTGTCCTTAGCTGCTTCATTAAAATTAAAATTGGAAATATGATCAAGAACTTGGAGCCTTAAATGTGTGCACCTGACGATGATTGGTTTGCATTAGAGCTGATTTCTGTATACATTCTGAAAAAGTGTTTAGACTGTAGGTAACAGATATAGCACTAATCCCTTCAGGATGTGCTAAATTTTAGGGGCCCTTCTACCATTTCTTTTGGTGATTTGCCTACTAGCTAGGGATGCACTGATACCGGTTTTTCGGTATGGAATACGAGTACCAACATTTTTTATTCGGTATTCGCCGATACCAAATACCGGTACCGGAAATCCCATTAAGGAAGCTGGGCGGCGTTAATGACTCACCACCAGGTGACAAGGAAGCATGGAGCAGGCTTTCTGACCAATCAGGAAACCAGGGGGCGGATAATGATTCGCCGCCTGGCTTCCTGATTTGCCAGTTTCCTGACCAATCAGGAAGCTCATTTGGCGAGTCATTACACGACAGCTGACTCCATGCTACCTCGTCAGGGGGTGACGAGGTAGCATGGAGCTGGCTATCTGGCCAATCAGGAAGCCAGGGGGCGGGTAATAACTTGCCAACCGGCTTCCTGATACCGGAAATTCCGGTTTTGGGAAGAGCATCGGGAGCTTTTGGGCAAGTAGAGTACTCTGTTTTTATTCTATGTAGTGAATTGCTTAAATAGCTTAAAGGTCCACACCTTTAAGCTGACTAAGAAATTGACTAAACAGGACTCTTCTTCAGCTTCCTTCTCCAGGTAGCAGACCTGAAAAGCATGAACAGGAGATATACATTCTCTTCAGACAGCAGGCCTGTGAGTCAAAGATCTTTGGACTCGCTTGCTTCCCAGTAGGGCTGCAGCTAACGATTATTTTCATAATCGATTAGTTAGTCGGTTATTAACTTTGATTAATCGGATAGGATTAAAAAACCAATACCGTCATTTATTTAAAATAAAATACACAAATGCAGCTTTACAGACATAAAGTTTACTTCAGGATAAAACAGTATGCACATTGTTTGCAATCGCACTGCACTGGAACGCAGGGCATTGCAGTACCGCGCATTCCAGTGCGGGCGATCACACTGCGGACGGGAGGTGCATTTGGTATCCATTAAATGAATGGCACCGCAACGCACCTCCTGCAGCAACATTTGTCAGGCCGAAACTAAAAATGTATTTTCCCACTAATATATACAGCATATTATATATTCTTTTTTTTAATAAATATATGTATCATATTAGACATTTTAATTATTTTCTTGGATTTAAAATAATGTAAATCGTAAAACTGCAAGCCAATATATTTAAAACAACACACCCCCCAAAAAAATGTTCTATTTTTAATTTTAGTTTATTTAACTTTATCTTTTTAAACTTTTTTTTTTTTTTTTTACTTT